CCAAAATGACCCCAGGCATGTACCTGTAGGATGCCGAGGATTTCATTCTAGCATGTCACTTTGACGCTATTGCATTTCAAAGTGACCTTCGACATTTACTTGTAGGATGCTGAAGATTTCATTCTAACTTGTCGTTTGACATTGCTACTACACCCCAAAATAGCATTCGACATGTATTTGTAAGATGCTGAAGGTTTCATTCCAGCATGTCATCCAACATCGCTATTATATTTTAAAATGATCTCCTACATGTTTCACAAGGATGCAAAGGGTTTCATTCAAACATGTCATTTGACAGTGCAATCATAATTTAAAATGATCTTTTGCATGCATTAGTAGGATGAAGAGGGTTTCATTCGAGCATGTCTTTTGATATTGCATTTACACTTCAAAATATCCTCCCGTACGTATTTACAACATGCAAAGGGTTTCACTCTAGTATGTCATTTGAAACTAAAATTGCACTTAAAAAATCGTATCATGCACACACGCGAATGCATAATGTAAAATGCATCTAACAATATATATCTGCATGGGCCCCGACGAGCATATTGTAGATACACACGTGACGTTTGAGGATATTACACAGGTCAAGAAAGAAATTTAGATTCAAACCAGATCCTTTGTCAGCAAATAAGAAAGAGCCGACAATATTCAACTAATAAAATAAAATTGCTCATACACCTTGATGATGACCATGTTGATAGAAAATCTCAACCTAAGAGGACTATAACCATTTTAAAATATATCCCAAATGCCCATAAAAATATAGAATTCCAAAATAACAACCCAAGACCAAGATATTTAAATTGAAATTAATCATCAAACACTTAAATCAAAAATACTCATCCACCCTCCGCAACAATTTGCCAAGATGGATAAATTAAAAAACTAATTCAGCTCACAAAAAGCTAATGTTTATTTGAAAATATCACTAGGATTCATTCTCAATCAATCTATTTCTAGTAAGGACGTGACACATGTCCTCTAGCCGATGGTTTCGCTGCCAAATGACACCACGCTGCTTACGGTTTCACTGCTAAATGGTACCGAAAGTAAACATTTATGTGAAGGACCCTTTGATCAGGAGGGATTGCTGCCAAATGGCACCATTATATTACGGCCATGGTCAAAGTCCATATGCTCCTCAACGACGTTGAATCATTGAGATATGAATTAATACTATATGATCAATAGGACACAAAGCTCTTTATTAGCTAAGATGAATTCAAATTTGTCCTCTTAGATAAATACTCATCCCACATCTACAAGGTACCCTTGGACGAAGCAAGCTATGGTTGTCGACAAGGATTCTTCTGTCAGGTTGGGTCGACTACCTCTGATTAAGTAGACTAGGAACCACAATGGCTCGGGACAGCGGAATCATGGGATCTTGATCGGGCTTATTATCATTCTCCGCACCATCCGTTTTAAGTGCAAGATGGTGAAATTTTCATTTTAGATATTAAATTTTCAAATAACTAAGCCCATATTGCTACTATACGCTAGATACTACGTATCTGTTTGATGACTAACCTTAATCGAAAGATCTCTCTCGTTATCAGGAGAGGTAATTAACTATAGGGACTTGTGCCTATAGGAAACAAGAACTTAGATCATAAAGTTCTCGCAAAATGAGGGCAAAATCTCTGGGCAATGTCTTATTTCAAAATCAATCTGCCTTCTAAAAATTTACCCTGGAACCTAATTCGTTAAAATTCTCCTAAAAGAGGGGAGGCCGGGGCATAAATTTTCAGTGCCCATAATGTTTTTAACAAAAGAACAACACATTTAGCTATCTATATTTTATGTAATTAACAAATTCTGTGGTTATTGTATTTTTTCAAACTTTTCCTCATGAATAAATTATGATGGACAAGCTATCCGTAATTTCCCTTCATGTTAAGGCATAATCATATACTTTATTACATAGAAACTTGAAGTACATGCCTTGCTCCATTTTCCTTACCACTAGGTTTATGTCATCATGGGAAACATTTTAGTTTCATTAAAAGTCATGTTGGAGGACCATATGCAAAATTGCTTCGATGCATGCAAACTAATTTTCATTTCAATTTAGTTTTTTGTTTTCATTTAGGGTATTATTTTCTTTAATACTAGGTCTATTTATAAATTTTGTCGTTTTCATTAGCATAATAGTTTATTTTTCAAAGTAACCGACTTTTATAAATATTTATGTATACTTGGATGCATTTTTATTCATAATTTTTAAATATTTTGAGCTATATTTAAAATAGCATGTGTTATGCCGTGTACTATATGCTATAGTTTCATGGGACTTTTGTGCAGAGGTGGACTATTCTTGAGAGCGAGTCTACATTCTCAGAGAAGTACTTCCATGGAAAGAAGTATGAAAACTAGCATGACAGGCATATTTGTAGAGACCGACTTCAATTTTCTTTGCTTCGCCATCTATTATCTTAAATGCACCACATATAACATCATCATTAATTTATCGTTTTTTTTTTTTTTTTTTGAAGTTTTATATCTTTAGTAGTTAACATAACTCTTGCTTGAATTGTGTTTCACTTGTTTCGTTTATTTTATAGTTTACTATATCATCAAGAGTTGTTGCATGCTTATTTAGTTTAATTACAAATATTTGAGAATCAATTGTGTTTTCATTTGTAATTTTGTATTGCATGTAGATTTACTCCTATAATGAAACAAATTAGGCAATGGTGAGATAATTCATTATGAAATTCCTCAGGACAAATCCTTAAAATTGACCAACTCTTACCATCCTTATGTAAAATACAATCTCAAACACTATATCATTTAACTCAACAACTACTAAGGCATAAATCATACCTTTTTGGCTACTTTTTTGGAGATGCATATTTATTCTAAATATTGAGTGTAATTTTAGTAGTAATAGACCTAATGAGGCGATTGTGACTTTGGGCGATCAAATTATTAATAAGAGTACACTTTTTAAATATTTTGGATCTATCGTTAGAGTGATGCTGAAATAGATGGGATATTATTAGTCGAATTCAAGTTGGATGGTTGAAATGGAGGAATGCATCGAGCTTGTTGTGTGATAGAAAATTCCACCTCAAACTTTAGGGAAAATTCTATAAGATGGTAGTGAGATCTGCAATGCTTTATGGTGCCGAATGTTGGCCATTAAAAGAAAAGCATAATACTAAGTTAATTGTTGCAAAGATGAGGATGCTCAGGTAGATGAGCGGCTTTACCCTTAGAGATAGGATACGAAATGAGCATATATGTGAAAAGTTTGGAGTAGCTCCAATGAAAGATAAGATTAGAAAGAGTCTCCTTAGATGGTTTGGTCACATTAAACGGTGGCCCTTCGATGACTCGGTTAGGAAAATAGATGTATTAGATTTAACTTTTGTTAAGAAAGGTAGAGGTTGACCTAAAATGACTTGGTTATAAAATATTAGAAATGATATTTCTTTTTAGATTTAAACGAGAATTTGACTTTTAGTAAGACACAATGGAGAAAAAAGATTCATTTAGCCAACCCCACGTAGTGGGACAAAGGCTTGTTGTTGTTGTTGTTGTTGTATGCAAAATGAAAAAAAAAACACTTCATCTAGAGTATTAGAATCTTTTGCAAACTCAAACTTACACTTAGGCTTGATAGGTTTCATAATTATCATTCTTTATTATACTTAGTAGCATATGTGTTATTCCTCTCAAAATGACAAACATCCAGATCATGAAGACAATGTCTACCCAAAATAACGATCAATGTGCTGTGGGATAGGGCTGCAAACGAACCGAACCTAGCTGAGTATGTGAGTGTTCATGTTTGTGTTCATTTAATATCAGCTTGTTCATGTTTGGTTCATGTTTGTTCGAGCTTTAGCATTTGTGTTCATGTTTGGTTCATTTAAATTAAGGAGTGTTCATGTTCGGTTCATGTTCAGTTCATGTTCGTTCGTTTAGTGTTTATCGAGCTTGTTCACGAATATATTTAACGAATTTTTTTAACTATTAAATGTTTGAAATTCTTGCAGTCTAGGGTATAGACTTAGATACGATATTAATGTTACTCCTAGTATCGAATATGAGCTTGTGAAATTTCTCCTAATATTTGAATTCTTTTTTAATTAGAATCAACCTTAAGTGTAGTTATCATACAACTCATGGCACTTAAGTTATCAATTAAACCATCTTCATAATTTTAAATTTCTCATCAAAATCATTGATTTCATTTTCTTCCACATTTTATTCAAGTCCCTACTATGAACTCACTAGCATAATGTTTAATTTGATGACACTTAGAATATGACTTCATTATAAATTTTAGAATCAGATGCAAATGCAATTGAGTTATTCTTAGTATTATCATTAACTACCGTATTAAATTATATAAATTTAGCAACTCAATTAGTTGTTATAAAGTTGTCAAAATCTCATCTCATTCATAATGTATTAAGTTATTCTAATAATTAACTCGCCTTCTAAGCGACACTATGACAATCTAAAGCTATGATACCAATTTGATGGACTGAGGGTTCAGTGTTCTAATGTTTCTAGTATGCTATGTTGTATGTAAATCATGAAAGGGAACTTAAAATTCAAAGATCTTGAACCACTAAATAAGCTATTTTTCTTAATAGGACACAATGAAGAAAAAATATTCAACTGCATGTAATGAGATAAAGGCTTGATGTTGAAATAAAGATAATAAATTTATACATCCTAAAACATATATTCACAGACTTCTTCTGAAAATCCAAAAGCTACTAGATATGTTTAACACGAGATCAAATCAATTCAATTCCATATAACCATCATATTTAACTTTGATTTTATAATAAACCCAACTTTTGAATTTACAAAAACAATAGCACAATTTATAATAATCCCTAAAGCTTGATGTTGTTGTATCATCTCCCCTAACATAAAATCTGCTATATTTAGCAGCCATCGAGTTAAGCTACTTTTAAAGTTCTTAAACGGTCGTATTTCCAAGGTTAATTACTGATGCTGTAAATATACAGGTGGTTGATGCTTTGGTACCGTTGGCTGAAATGTTTCAATATGTGAGCACACTGCGTGGGATGACGAAAGGTCGTGCTTCCTACTCGATGCAGCTCGCCAATTTCGATGTTGTTCCCCAACATATACAGAATCAACTCTCCTCTAAAGAACAAGTTGCAGCTTGATTTTCTTCTGTTCAAAGTGCAGGCATGGCTTTGCAGGTTTTTTCAAGCACTAAGCTTCCATTATTTGGAGAATTACCTTGATTTCATATTAAAAAAATGTAAAAAAAGCATTTTTGAGCATGCAATATGATGTTTGTTTTTTTATTATTCAATTACAATATTTTGTTGATCCAAAAGGTCTTGGATTTGAGGATTAGTGTGAGTGTGCTTGTATTTGATTTGTATTTTGACACTTAATTTCTCAAAAATTTAAAAAAATATCATATTTTATAGCCCTGTGACCAAGTTTGAGATTCTTTAAAATTTGCAAAAAAAAAATCCCCTTTTCAAATAGGTTGAAATCCAGCTTTTTTATTCCAATTCTGCAAGTATTTATTGCAGGCAACATATGCTTTGGCAATCCTTATGACTGACTCAAATCTATTACGGGATGAATTGGTATTTTTAAAAGCATAATAACTTCTTAAAAAATTATATTAATTAGTTGATAATTATATGTATTGGAATATGCACAAACATCTAACACGTAGATAAATAAGTTAAGAGCACAATAATAGTAACAATCATTAGAGTTTTTATATGAAAAACTTGAAAAAGGGAAAAATGGTGGCGCTTGGTATAACTAAAATTAGTCTAACTAGTATTTATATTTGGTTACAAGTGAAGCTCTTTCTATGAGGAAACATTAAGAATACATATTATATTATTGAAGGTGAAAGAGCCTTTTGATATTAGCATAATTGAAATTAGGTGTCAGAGCCGATGTAGATGGTATGTGTTAGCATTATTAATAATGATTAATAATGAAGTATGTATGCATTTGGAGTGGCTAGGTGATAATAGTCAAAAGATTGTAAGTTGAGAGACTATGGTCAAGTAATTGTGGTCAGAATGATTGGAGTCTGACAATGATGGTTGAATGATCATAATCGAGCGATGGTTGCTTGATGGCTATAGTGGGCAGATGATGGAGGTCAAAAGGATCATAATTGACAGGAGATAGTTGTTGGAAGAATGTAATCATCAGATTACAAAGATTGAAAAGACCATAATCAATGGGTGATGATGTTCAAAAGAACCGTAGTCAGACGACTATGGTCCAATGATCATAATTAGGTGTTGGTGGTTCAAGGATTGTAATCAGACAATAATTGTCCGAGCATCATAATCGGGTGATGCTAGCATGAGGACTGTGGTCAAGCATTAGTAGCAATGGTGGTCAGAGGATCGCAATCAACGAGTGATAGTGGTTAAATGACTATAAATTTAGACTTCTTGGGGGTCGGTTGGCTAGGTCGAGTCGGTAAAGTTAGCTTACTCGGGACAAATCTTAATTTTTTTTTAATTTTTCAAGTGGAATTTTTACCCGTTGATTTTTTTCTTCGGAAAACATTTCAGGCAGATTATGTTGTGCTGGAAGAACTTTTCAAACTAGTATTTTACCAGCAGAAAACTTTTCATTTTAAATATTAATTTTCGATGGATTTTGGTCATTTTCCAGCAGAAATGGACATAAATAAATTCGTCATAAATTCCAGCATGCGAATTATAGACATAAACAATTACTTTTAATATTTTATAAGTTATAATTTAAATTAAAAAAATTAGCCGCATATGCATCCTTAATGGCTTGATGGCTTTCACGCGAGGTGGGCGGGGTTTGAACACCGCCATAGGCGTTGAGCTTGGGGTTTGCGTACAGGTTGCAGGCTTGGGGACTTACGGGCGGCCTTGGGCATAGCAGGTAGGTTTAGGAGAGCCGATTAGGTTGGCTTGTGCGGCGAGCTTGGTGGGGCAAGCAGACTAGATGGAGGTAGTCGGTTGGCTAGGTCAAGTCGGTCAAGATAGCTTACTCGGGACAAATCTTAATTTTTTTTATTTTCCAGGTGGATTTTTTACCAGCTGATTTTTTTCTTCGGAAAACATTTCAGGCAGATTATGTTGTGCCTGAAGAACTTTTCAAACGAGTATTTTACTGGCATAAAAATTTTCGTAATATTTTCGACTGATTTTGGTTATTTTCCAGCAGAAATGGACACCAAAAAATGACAATTTTCCCGTAGTGGGAGGGGGAATATTTATGTTTATAGCCCAAATATGTATAATCTAGCAAGTTCCTTCAATATTTATTGTGCATTCAGGACAGTCTTCCTGACAACCATCTTTAATATATCTTCTACCAAACTTCAAAAATATTTCAAGAAACTTCATGGAAGTCTCTCAAACTCTGCATAACTTCTACTCCTTGGGTAGAGGCATAACATAATCTTGAATAGACAGTAATGATATAAAGATATATTGATCTTGACCTTCAATTTTGAGATACATATAGCATTCACCACCTCTCAATTAATGGTACAATCGATTCAACCTTTTTCATATAAATTTTTATCAGAAGTAATGCTCAGACAAATAACCTTGAATAGGTCAAACATCCATAGTAGATTTCTCTTGACATATTTCATAATAGTCAATGTAATTGAGCAACATTATGATAAACAATCTTAGATAAGTCAAACATCTTTGATAGATTTCTCTCAATCTCTTCCACATTAGTTGATGTCATTGAGCAATGCTTTGATAAACAATCTCAAATAGGTCAAACATCCTTGGTAGATTTCTCTTAATTAACCTCTTATGTATAGATTTATGCTATTGTACAACACTTTGATAAACAATCTTGGGCATTTCAAATATCTTTGGTGGATTTCATTTTTGTCACAACAGTTTTATAATCTTTTTATAAATAATTTTATTTATTTAATTTTAACGTTATGATGTTCTAAATATTTGTGATATAAGAAAGAATTAGTAATATTAAGTGTATAAGTTTCAAGGCATATCTAAAATAATCATCAAATAAAAAATATTGAATGATATTAATAGAAAATTAAATAAAATTTTGCTCAAAAGCCCTTGGCTTAAGTGGTGTAGTTTAAATTTCTAATATTGAGGTCTAAGACACTAATCTCAGCAAATGCAAGATTGATGAATTTCTCCATATCCACTTTGATTCAATATCTGTAATTGGCCTTGTGACCCTACTTATATATTTGTAATTGACCTTATAATTCACTTATATTTCAAGATCTAAAGAATTTCTTCTAGCAGAATCTTTATTTTTGAAAAACAATTATTTACAAAAATGATGACTATAAATAAAATATTTGTTCAATAGTTATTATGTAATGTAAATACAATTAAGATAGTTAAAATAATTATTATAAAGAAATTTGAAAAAAAAAATTAATTATTCACAAAAATGATTTTGAAAAACAATTATTTACAAAAATGATGACTAAAAATAAAATATTTGTTCAATAGTTATTATGTAATGTAAATACAATTAAGATAGTTAAAATAATTATTACAAAGAAATTTGAAAAAAAAATTAATTATTTACAAAAATGATGACAAATATAAATTATATGTTTAATAGTTATTTTATATGAATTAATGTTTTTAGCAAATTAATGTAAATAAATTAAGATAGTTAAAATAGTTATTATGCAATTTTTTAAATAGATATGATAATTAATCGTAGGGTTAGCCATCACTGTCTAAAAATGAATAAAGAGTAATATTTTGTCACACTAACATTTAATCACGAAAGCAATTAACAATCAAAATTTTAAAATATATAACACCGATAAAAGAACTTAAAAGCTATTATTTAACAAATATATTTGATCATATTTTTAAAAAATGTATAACAAACTATTCATATTTATTTTCGCTTCGTATAAAATTATAATTATAATTCTTCATTACAAAATTTTATACTATTTCAAAATTTAAACTAGCAAAAACTAAAGGCAAGACTAAATACATATTTTAAATTATCAATAATGACACTCTAACCTTTAACAAACTAATCATAAGATGATCCTAATTAATCTTTAAGTGAGCCGAGCTAACTCAAACGTAGCTCGTTAACAAATTCACGAGTCGAGCTTGACGGGCAATGCGTTTGAACCCAAGCTCGGTTTGATTGAGCTTATAAGCTCATTGTGCTGCTCGATTGACTTAAACTATATTCAAAAATTAATTTTAAGTTAGAACTATATAATATATTTTTAACTTTTTAAAATTATTTTATAAACCCCATTGTTTTATTTGTATATTAAAAATATTTTAAAAAATTTAAATTATAATTTGAAATTAAGAAATTGAGCTCAATAACTGAGTTAAGCTCAAACTTCCTAACTGAGCTCGAGTACTCGAGCAAAGCTCGAGATTAAAGTTTTTTTATTGAGTCATGTTCAAGCCCAGTATATGAGTTCGAGCTCGAGTCCGATAAGAATTCAACAAGTTTAACTTAATTAAAAAAATACTTAACTTGACTCAACTCATTTACACCCATACTCTAATCATTTCTCTTTCACTCTCACCTTACTCTTCATATTACTGACACTCAAATGCTTTTTGAAGGGGACATATAAACCAAAACACAATCATAGCATTATTTGTTGTCATAATTATCTCTAGGTAAAATATCATTTATTTCCCCACCCCTTCCCTTCCTACAGCACCGACTCTATGCCAATCAAAGAAACATAAAACACAAGCCATGTCGCGCGAGGGTTAGGTTAAAACGGGTTTGCGGGTTGACCCGGCAACCCGGCGGGTCAACCCGAACCCGACTCGTTTCTCAAACGGGTCAATTTCTGGAACCCGAACCCGACCCGTTTAGAAATCGGGTCGGGTCCAACCCTGAATTTTCGGGTCGGGTCCAGGTCGGATTTTCTTGTCGTGTCAAATATTGACACTCCTACATTAAGCTACCTAATTAACTAATTACCTTTATATGTTGCCTAAGCACACCTTGTGCGAGGAGAGTTGACTAATGGTCAAAGGTCTCGGCTTCTGATTGCATGCCTAATCTATTAAAAAAAAGGTGGTTAATTAAACTCAAAGAAAGATAATTAGTGCCAATATCAGAGTAATTAGTTTGATGATTAAGAACAGTACAGTCTGATAATCTCAGGCGTGACAACAAGAAGATGCCTCTTGAGAGCTGGTATCATCATGTGGCATGTGATATGGAATGATTATTTTAGCTTAAATTACTGATAGTGGCAAGTAATTATATATAGTGGGAACAGCTTTTGATTAATCGCTTATAACGGACATTTTATTGGGATTTGGTTCTTATTTGGAAAGGCCAAGTTCTATAGATAAGCTGGTGAATAATGAATTAGTGCCCCTCGGTGATTTATGGGTTGGTGTGCACATTACTCATGAGCAATTGGGATTAATATGTTTATTTCTT